CTCAGCCTTCAGATGACAAAAACATCACACGTGCAATCTTCCAATCTGCAGCCTCCTGTTCTCTGAAAGAGGAAGCTATTTCTTCAATCATCTGACCTGGAGCTATTGAAGGGCCTTAAATACAAAGGAAAAGGAGTTGAAATAAAGAAAATAGAACGATCTAAAAATAGATTATTTTATAATGCTTCTTGTTTGCAAATCAAACCTTGTACTAATGGGACTCATTTTTAACAATTGTCAGAAGCCAGCTTTTGAAAACTCAAATGCAAAGGACTGACAACTTTTCCTATGGAATGTTCCAGCAACAATTAGAAACTTAGGTCCATGCTAAATTTTAAAGGTGGCTTAATTGCGGACATGCCCATTCACAAGGAAAGGCTTTAAACATGGTACATATGCTTAATGCAATCTGTGACTTGGCCAAAAAAAAATATAGCATGTGTGAATGTGAAAGTAGCGCGAAGCAAGAATTGGTTGCCAATAGTGAATCCTTTGACTAAAAGTGGCTTAAATGTTGTGGATATGGTATCTAGATCAGGGGTCCCCGACCCCTGGGCCATGGTCTACTACCGGGCCGTGGCTGGTTTGGAAGTGGGCGACGTGAGCAGCTGGTCTGCGCATGCATTCATGCAGCTCATCTCACGTGAGCAGCAGACCAACACGCACATGCAACTCAACACAGATGAACAGTGGGCCGGTTCACACACACCAGCCCACCACTTGCATCAGCCAGTTCCTCCCCCCACACCACTCTGTTAGGCCACCAAGCCATAAAGTTTGGGGAGTAGATTAAATGGGTCTTTTAGCCAGTCCACCCACATTTGGGGGAGTTATTTTCAGGAGGATTTACTTTTATTTTTTTGATTTGTCTATGGAAGCATGAAGCTCAAATTCCAGAATCACTTCAATGAATATTCGTTATTAAGCCAGTTTGACTTGATCCATCATGGAAGTGAATCCTGGCTGCTTGATTTGGAAGAAATGGAATGTGTAGCTAGCTAGCTGCATACAAACCAGAATTTAACTAAAAAAAAAAACCCTGATATGTCAAAGGTGCCTTTCTGCTTGAGAAATGCCTTGAATGTTCTGGGGATTTTTTTTCCAGTTAGTGAGCATAGCCCAGATTTCTCCTTGTTGCTGCACTTTTCTCCGGGACAGTGAACCTTCAAATAAACCTCTTGAACCTTTTTGTATCTTAGGAGATCATTTCTATAAACGTAACAAGAATTTGCCCCCAGAAGAACAGATGATCTCAGCGCTGCCAGATATCAAGGTGCTGACAATCAACGATGACCATGATTTTATGGTCATTGCCTGTGATGGCATCTGGTAGGTGGAAATTGAGCTTTGGAATAAACAAGAATCCTTCCTATGGTAGTCGGCTGACGCTTAATTTCTTTCAATATACTCGGGGAGTAGAGAATGCTGATAACTTGTACCAAGTCAAGACCTGGAAGGGATTATAATTACAAAGCTGAGGGCAGGTTGATGTAATTGTAACCTATTGTAGTCTTACATTTATTTTTCATGATCTCTCTCTTTTGCTCCTAATCCAGGAATGTCATGAGCAGCCAAGAGGTTGTGGATTTTGTTCAATCCAAGATCGCACAGAAGGGTGAAGATGGAGAATTGCGATCTCTGTCATCTATAGTAGAAGAAGTGAGTTGGTGACTGGTGGACGTGACAGTTGAAATTAAGTATAGGAATATTTCTATAGTATATGGAAAAAGGCATTCAGTTCTCAGGTTTAGCAGATTTTTTCTTTAGGCTACAAGATGAGAGTTATATTTGATATACCGTATTTATCGGCGTATAACACGCACAGGCGTATAACACGCATCTTCATTTTAAGAGGGAAATTTCACCCCCACTCCCACCCCACGCGCGCGCTTCAATCCACAGTGTCCCATTCTGCCTGCCTGCCTGCCTGCCTTAGTTTCTGGTTGTTTGGGAGCAGCTTCGGCTGAGAATAATAACTATTCGCCTCTTTTACTCAGCCGAAGCTGTTCCGATTCAACCATTAACGAAGGCAGGCAGGCAGGCAGAACGGAGCACTGCGGGCGGGCGGGCGGGCGGACGGGGTGGGGGAGAAACGGGCGCGGCGACAGGAAAAGCCCCCCCCCCCCGCTTCTTTGAAGCAGTTTCTTCCTGTGCTGGTGGAGGAGCGAGAGAGCGACTGAGAGAGCTGACCCAGAGAGAAGGACAGGCTTCGGTTGCTTCCTCCCTCCCCTTCTTTCATTTGTGTCCTTGATCCCCGATCCCAGCAGCATTCACCGAAGGCTTCTTAACATTATATCGCCGTATAACACGCATACATCATTTGCCTCCTATTTTCAGGGGGAAAAAAGTGCGTGTTATACGCCGATAAATACGGTAGTTCAGATTGCCAGGAGAAATGATCTGATTGGGGCTCTAAAAAGTTTCTCTTTGAAAGCACCTAAGAAGGACTAGATCTTGAAATGCACCAGGCATGCACTGTTTACTGACCGGGTCCCAATTGGTTAAACCTGGGGAACAGTCACCTATCTTAATAACAAATTATCTTCAGGAACTGAAAAAATGTTACAGGGTAATCATTTAGTTTCATAGTCCGCTTCTAGTAAATCATCCTCAGTTTACACAAAGATTCCTTCCTGCAAGTCTATTTGCCGGCTGCCTGGCAGGTATTGGAAACCATCAAACTATTGCCTGGATTTCTCTGTCCTTTGGGTTTAATGAGTGTATGCCAGAAGCTGAATTTCATGCCGAATTCATTCTCTAATTTTTGTCTATAAACAGCTCCTGGATCGTTGCTTGGCTCCTGACACATCTGGTGATGGAACAGGCTGTGACAACATGACTTGTATCATCATCTCTTTTAAACCATACATCAGTCAAGGCTCCCCTGTTGAGAGCAGCAAACGGAAACTGGAGGATAGCACAACAACTAGCCCCACAGAAGAGGGTTGTAGCAAGAAGGCCCGACAGGACTAGCAGCCAAGTTGGGTAGGGAATTGCCCATGCTCTCACTGGACTCTTGTTTTCTAAACAAAGCTGAACTTTTGATGCCTGTTTTAGGCTTTTTTATCCTTAGGGAGGCCCATTTTGTCTTTATTATTTGGAGGGAAAAGGGATTCAGGGTGGGTCCCATTGGTCTTTGAAACCATTCCAAAGAGTGAATGACAGGGAGGATCATAATCTGGCCAAAGCCCAGAAGGCAGTCTACCTGCTCAAACACTCTCTGTCCCACAGTTACACACACAGATAAAAGACCACTGCAGCGTCTCTCTGGTTGTTGCCATTTCCGTGCCTGTAATTTTTCTGTGGGCAGGTAGCAGTTTTACAGTGTGGAGATTTCAGAGCTGCAGTTCTATTTAAGGCCTCCACTTTTTTTAAAAAAATTGTGGGACTGATTGCCCTGCCCCCCCCCCCAACCAATGGCTACCAAGCCCCAACTCTGTCATTCATTTTAAACTGAGATTTTTTTTTTTTTCAAACTAAAAACTAAAACTCTTTATCAGTGACTGTGTACTTTTGTAAAATTGTGAGGGGAAGTAAGATGAACTGAACTATTATGTAATTCATTGATTCTGTAGTTTCTTCCCTTTTCTTGTTCATTCCATTTTCTTCCCAATTCCTTTCCCTCTGTGAGTTCCATGCCTATGACTTGCAAGGTCTTATTCTGCCCAAACAAACTAGGACCAACACCAAATTGTCTTGTCCGTGGAAACTTAACCCTTATGATTTCCCCAGGAAGCTTGCAAAAGACAGACACCCCCAATTTGTTTTTGTTCTATGTTTTGTCTTGTAGAAAAGTCGGATTCTTTTCTCTGAATGTAGGGGAACCTAAATTTAGCCGCATGGTTTTTATTAAGACTTGAATGCAACCCTGTAGGCCATGAAATATAGCACTCTTATTTTATAGTCATAAATTTCAATTTGAACTTGAAAAAAAGTGGGAATTGGAAACCTTTGAGACACAAATCTTTGGTTTCCAATACCACCCTTAAAACTCCCCAAACCTGAAAACAAGTTGGCCACCGTTATTTTAGCCTCCCACAAATGAGCCAAAACTGTGAATGTCACTGGAATATCTCTTCCAGCTGGTTGCAGTGTGGTTCACCAGCCCGCTGCAAGTTGTTTGCCCTTTTTTCCAAGACGCTTTATAACAGCTTTTTCCCATTTTGTTACATCTATTGTTCCTACACCATAGATTTGTGTAAGTCCAACCCAAAGTTGATTTTCAACCTATTTTGCCTCATTCCTATGGAATATAGGATCATAATATTACCAGACATTGAAGTTCCTTCTTCGGTTTCAATATTGAGGTGAAAATTACTTGCAACTTTAAGTGGAATTACTGCTGTTCCATTAGATTTCTGAGGAATTCCATAAGCGATCACTCAGGTAAAGCTAGCATATTTTAACGTTCAGAAATTTCATAGGAGCCTATTCTACACTAATGGTTTTAATAGTAAGTCTCTTGTGGGACTTGCTATAAAGCAATCCACAATGTAGTCCAGAATCCCTCATAAGATCTAGCCTGGCTGCATGTGCACCCTTTTTCACCCTACCCATACAAGCTTTCTTTGATTCTCTGAAATTAGCATTAGGCTTTCACTTGAGGATTTCCCAGTTTCCCCAAATCTCAGTCGTCATCCAGAAGATTAACGTATGTAACTATTTTATCACAACTGAAACTCTGGCCTATTTAGATCAGTGCTTTCACTTCCACAAGTACTCTGCTCAAAGTGGTTACTTCAAACCATTTAATCAGAGGTAGGAAATCTACGATTCAGGAGATCTAATCCATATGGGCAATTATGAGTGATGTTTGAAGTTGTAATTCAACATCTGGAAGATGAGAAGCTTCCCAAGCCTCCTTTAATGTGAATCTGGCCTCACAGTTGTTCTCTCAGTGGTTGTTCAGCAGTTTAGCCCCATCTGACGAGACTTCTTCCCACCATCTAAGTAGGTAACGCATGGAGTTCCATCCCTACATATTAAAATGGGAGGATCCATTAGACTCCTCTGATAGCTGCTATTTATTATCTTGAAGCACCAAAGATCTTAATCAAGTGGAAGGCAAAATGGGGGCTAAAAGATGCCAAGTGTTTGGGTAACCAAAGTGAGCAGTGATGAATCTTGCATGGGCTGTTGTAGACAGACTTGGCTTTCAAGCTAGGAGAACTTGGATCTTCAGTCCACAATTGCTTCTCTGTGTTGCTTTACTCTGTCATCACTCCTGCCAAACTGCAGCCATCACTTGTGTAGGCGAGCGAATCTGCTGAAAAGCTGTGGCCTGATGCAGCACTACAGAGACTGTGCTCACCGGCAGCCTGTGGCTGAGTTTCAATCTCCACTTCCACTTCCACCATATTCAGGCCATCCCTGCACAGGGGAAGAACAGCACTTCTTGTGAACGGGGAGGGAATATGGCTCAGAAAAACAGGGTAGAGAGTTATAATTCACAATATTGCACTATAAGGCAAACTGGGAAGAAGAGGAGTGTGTTTTTGTGTTTCTCCCCTCTGCGCTACTGTATTGTTTCTGAACTGAAAACAGGAGGAGTATGTCTGCCATGACTGAGAAACTGGGGGTAGCAGTGAGATGGAACCTGTCCCAAACAGGACTTGCAACAGCCCAATAAAGCAGAACTGAGCCAACACTGCTTGTTCAATAGGTCTTCCTTCCCTGCTCTTCTGTTCCATCCAGAGATTACTTATAAGGAGTAACTTTGCTTGGGACTCCCTCCAACCCAAGTCCACTAGACTGACCTGTGAGAAGTTTCTTGAGCTTCACTCAGCATGCTGCCTGCCAAGGCTACAGTGCTGGCAGATTCGCTTTTCCAATCTTTTTGGTAGGGTTCTTCGTGTTGACTGTTACTTGAATGGCGGATGGAAGCAGAAGCCCCCTTCTCGGGCACCATGGGGGTAGGCAGCACAGCCAGCAGTTCGTTCACTGGTATGAAGAAAGAAAGGGTAAACATGGCAGCATCCCCTTTCTTGGCATCAAAAATATCTTCACATATTTAGGTAACCTCTGCAAGGTTTCCTTAATGGAAATGTTGATCCTGCGAAACCTAATAGAATGAAACTGTCTGCAAGTGCAGAGATTGAGCAAAGTTTTCAAATGGTACTAAAACAAAAAAGAGGAATAAAAGGGTTTATTGTCACACAGTTTTTAAAAAGCTCACAAATTCTGAATATTAAATGTCAGTTTTAGAAAGCTGCTCTGTTGTGGTATTTCCCATTTGTTACTACTAATATCTTTTAGCAATTGTAGACAATACGAGCAGGAGATACCCGTAACTGTAGCTATTATATAAAGGGAGTAATGCAAAAGTTAGGGGAGTTCCTGAGACATTCCTTCATTACTTAAAATAAAAAAAGAATCACTTCTGAGTTTTCTGGGATAATTAGAAAAAATGGCATTTTAAGAATCCTTGCTATGTAATCAAATGAATCAGTTAAACTGGTTTTCACATAGCGCCTTCTTTGCTGTCAGCCTTAGTGCATCACCAAATTACTGACAAAGTTTTCTATGTACATTTGTTGGGAGAGCTGTCAAGACTTAAAACAGGCAAGGAGTGGAACTCAATGGGAATTATAACGCTATGACATTTCTGAAATAGTACCGAATAATACCAGCTATATAAAAAACATAGGCAAATATTGTCAAAAGATTGAAAGCTAGGTGGTTTTCGTTCATCAATAACTAAATTTTGTAGGAACACACCACCTGAAGCCCAGATAGGAAGCTGTAACATAACTCATCAAACTGACATGACAGCTTTCTTCCATAAACAAAACCAAGCGAGATATTCCATTACCAGAATGGCTGCAAAACTAACATATTGTTCCAATGTAATACTATTGGAACCTATATGTAATTGCAAGCCAGCAAATAAGAAATATTCAGAAATAATGGATTGCTGTATCTGCCATTGTAGATTCTTCTCTCACACTTCAAAGCGAAACATCAACTTTCTAATGGAAAAATTAGAATAAGTTATTTTACGGAAGGAGGCTTAAAGGGCAAAGCAATAATATATTAAATGAGAGCCACTTGTGATGTGTCCCTCCCCTGGACTAAATTACTTTGCCTCTCTGACTTCGGCACAACTCACAACAACTCACGTACATTTGGCGAGGTTCTCCAGTTCCACTGTGCTGAGCTCCCCAGCTTCCTTTCGGGAGCTTCCACACCCCCAGCGATTCCGGCACAGAGAGAGTACCACGACCCCATACACGTAGGTGAGCATCAGGGGCACACCCACCCCTGCAGGCAAAGAGCCTGTTATAAGAACCACCTCTGTTCAAGGACTGTTCATGCAGCCATGCAATTCATGAAGGGCAGAAGATTTCCCTCTCAGTTCGAAAGCAAAAAAAAACAAAACACCACCTTGTGGATCCACACGTACCCTCCCATCTCGGTCTCCTTGTGGCTCTTACCAACAGTGACAGCTGTGATGACAGGGGACACAAAGAGAGATAGGAGAATACTGCTGGCAACAGAAAGACACTGCTGGCAGCCTGACAGTTTGCTCTTGCGCCCGTGGTTCAAAACCTGGAGGAAAAGGAAAGAAAGAATAAGAGGTCCCCAGAAAAAAGTACTTTTTAATTTGGCCTAAGCTGCATTTCCCATGAGCCTACGAGAACATCCTGTGCACATTTTAGGGGCCTCTGTGATTATGAAATGGCATGGCCTCCATGCAAGTCTCCTTACCTTCTTCCCTGTGTAAATGGGTATTCCCAGGGTGATGACCGGCACTGCAATGCCAGCAACAATTGAGATCACCATTGGGGCACCCAACACCATGCCCAGCTGCCATAGGAGCTTCCGGGTTCGAGACCAGGGCTTCTTTCCCCAAAAGGTGCAGCCAGAAGGACTGAGGAGAAAATAGGAATCAGTTATGAAAATGGGGACATTCAAAAGTACAAACTGCAGATACCCTTACATTTTCCTCTTGGTTAACACAGGGCCTGCTACCATGCATTTCCAAAGCAGTTTTTTCAGCGCTGGATTAGGCCGTTTCTGAAAACCAAAGTCCCTTTCCCAGAATTGCACACTCACATAAACAGATCTTTGTGAAATCCACTCCTGTTGTTCCCTAACCCCTACTGGACTTGATGTAGCCCAATCTCTTTGCCTTCAATATGTACAAGATGTGGATCTCACTCATCTAGAGAGAAGTATAAAGCTATTGTTTCAGAAGTTCAAGGCTTTCTGAAATTCTTAGTTCATAAAATATTCTTAATCTGCTGCCAGTAGTTTTTTATTTATTTGTTCTCAGAATTCTATTAAAAGTTGTTATCCACTTGGCTGTTTTTGATACCAATTTTGTTGTAAATGTCTATGTCACTATGCGACTTTCTATGGTAGAATAGTGATAGGTAAGTTTAATGTATGGCATATTTATAAACTTAGCTTTATATTAATTTTATTAAAACTATAAGATGAAAGATTAAAAACTAAGATGTTTAGAAGAAAAAGAGAAGTAAAAAGAAGGGAAATAAGAACGAAGCCAAAAGTGCAGGAGATAATAAGTATAAAGAAATGACTTCCAGTTTTCTTTTACAGCAGTTAGAGGTAAATTAACCTCTTACTCTATGGTTATAATATTTTTATTTTTAAAATGGTATGTCTGTATAAATAAATGGTGCCCTGGATTCTAAGTCAATTATAAAACATTCTTTACCTGCAATGACTCATCTTATCCATGTTATTTAATTTAGTGAGTATATAAGTAGATATAGGAGATTGCAATCTCATCATCTAATCCAGGGGTGTCAAACTCAAGGCCCGGGAGCTGGATCCGTTTTGCGGGGTGCTTAGATCTGGCCCCCGGGGCTGCCCTGGAAACAGCAAAGGACTGGTCAGCAGTGCCTCTGCCAGCAAAAACGGAGCTTGTAATGCCCTCCTGAGCTCCATTTTTTGCTGGCAGAGGGTTGCAGGAGGCCATTGCAGCCGAAAACTGAGCTCAGGAGCGAGTTTTCACTGGCAGAGTGCTTAGGCCACCATAGGCGACTGCTGACACAGTGACATCATGCTTCCACGCCCATCATGGCTGCCGCCCCCTCCCCAGATTAAACACAACCCTGATGCGGCCCTCAATGCAATCAAATTTGACACCCCTGATGTAATCCATACTCTTCAAAGTGCTTCTTTGAGCACTCATGGTTTATTTCCATCTCTATCAAGCCTTTGATCTGCAGCTCCATTCCCTGAAAGCCCTGATGGATAGAATAAAAGCCATTTCCCTCTCTATTTGCAACACCTGAGGAAATGCACATCCGTGATTTCTTGCATGCAGAGCCAGCAGAAAAGGCAGCCACAGACAGTGCAGTTCATACGGTTACAGCTCCCATCGTTGATCTTCATGATGAAGGCACCACAGCGGGGACAGACCTTGACGGTGTCAGGGTCTATAGAAAGCAGAAACGGAAAAAAAAACAGGGCTTAAACTAATGCAGCTGACCAGGCCCCAACAGACATACTTAGGGGCAGAGATAGGAGGGTCCTGACAGAAACAATACAGGCAAGGAAGAAACCCAGCGCTGAGAGAAGGCATTGCCTCAACTCACTGTGGGCTGCTTCCTCTTTCCAGATCAGTTGCGTGGAGAGTTCCACAGCTCCCAAAGGGCTCTGCTGCTTCCACTCCCGCCAGGCCTGCTCACAGGAGGAATTGGGGTGCCAGGGCTGCCGGCAATGATAGCAAAATTCTGTCTTGCAATCCTGACGACCACAAACAAGCCGGGGGCATTCAGCACAGCCATAGGCAATTACAGCATAACTGGAGGAAGAAGAAAAAAAGCAGGGATATCAACTCGAGAACTCAATAGCTCTCACAGAATTCACTTGCCTAATTCAAGCTTTACTTTTATTTTTTATTTACATCTGACCTTTCATTCAGCAGCTGAAGGCAACATACAGAGTGCTCCTCCTCCCATTTTCCCCGTAACCATGTGAGCTAGGCTGGGCTGAAAAAAGAAACTGGTCCAAATTTACTTAGTAAGTTTCCAAGGCTAAAGATGAACTAGAATCAGGGTTTTCCTAGTGCCAGTCGAATACATTAACTATTATACCATACCGATTCTTTAAGCTTTGACATTTGGCCTTTTATTATTTGTACTATTTTATTATTTATTTTATTAATTTATAAGGCTGCCTTTCTTGTCCAAGTGACTCTTGTCAGTTTAAGGATTAAAACAGTACAAATCTAAACAAATAGGAAATGGCAGCTTAAAATAAAAATCTCAGAGTAATAATAAGCCACCTGAGTTTTGCTAACTTACTGGCCTCCAGTGCCAGGGCAAACAGCCAGGTCTAAATACTTTCAGAAAGGCCAGCAGGTTGGAGCCAATTGGATCTCTTGGTAAAGGTGTTCCAGAAGACAAATACTGTGATTGAAAAAGTGTTTTTTCCTAGGTCTCACAAGATGGCATTTTTAAATTCAGGAGTCCTGTAACATGTTCCTCCTGCCAGATCTAATACAGCTAGTCCTCAGTTAACGAGAACAATTAGGACCAGAAATTATGTTGCTAATTGACAGTCATAAAACATGATGTCGTGTGACTGCACCACTTAGCAACAGCTGTTCTGGCAATCCTGTTACCATTGGTAAGTAAGGACCATGAAGGATGTTAAGGGAGGACCTCACATGACTGACTTTGCTAGTGGGAAGCTGGCAGGGAATGTCTCAAATCAAAGTTATTGTGGGACACTAGGACCATTAATTACGGATTGATCACCAAGTGCTTGAATAATGGTCTTGTGATTGCACTGCTATGCTGCTGTGTCAGCCCCCTGAGGTAAACCAGACAGGAAATATGACCAGATGAGCTAATTCTATTTTATTATACTGCTACATTAACAGAACCTTGTAAGTCTAGAGCAGTGGTAGTCAACCTGGTCCCTACCGCCCACTAGTGGGCGTTCCAGCTTTCATGGTAGGCAGTAGGGGTTTTTTCCCCTCTTTATAAATCACCATTGCTGTGGAACCGGTGGGCGGTTAGAGAAAATTTTACTACTAACAAAGATACAAAAGTGGGCGGTAGGTATAAAAAGGTTGACTACCCCTGCTCTAGAGGTACAAATTTCCAGACACCATTTTTAGCCATCGGATCAACTAGGATGTGTCGTTCCCAAATGTCTTCCTTCCTCTGACTGATAAGCCACTCTGTCTTGTCTGATTGTTTCCTAGGCAGCATATCTCTTTCCCTCATTCCTCAAGGCCATTCCCACATGCCATTAGAAGCTAAGAATGAGTACCAGATTGGTTCAGCACCATTGTAAATTCAAAGAGTCGCTGAATGACTTGTAGTTATGCAAGGATCACCTGTACAGTAGCTACAATGACTGGAAAAAGTGGTCCTTCAATTATCCTGTCCACTGCTACAAAATGCTTTATAAGTAACAGCCAGAATTTTGATTTGCACCTGGAAGGCTATTAGGAGCTAGCGCAATTCACTTTCCCATTCAATCCACTTCCTACAACTTAAAACTTCTTTTAGAATTAAGAGTTCCATGATGGCAGCCACAGTCCTGCCACCACCTTTATGTAACATTTCCATCTTCCATATCTCTATCAGTTGAGAGACATGAATGTTACATGGCTGGGAATCACCAGACAGAAACTATCTGCAATAATGAGCATGTTCTGTAAATACTTTTTTTTTGACATCAATGGGATTTGCTTCTCTCTGTAGGGGTTCACTTAGCTTCAGCGTTCCCAGTTTTTAATCAAGCTTTTCTATCCAATCACCTTAGGATAGGGGCTGACAAAGCAGATCTATCAAGACAGCCTTATGACTTGTTCTTCCCAATACCTAAATAAGCAAGGTTGCAAAGAATTTTTTTTTTTATCTTTAAAACACTGTTGCAGACTGGCAAATCAGTTAAATGCTTAGCCAGCTACCTGCATCAAATCAAATGCAATCAGTACCTAACAGTGCAATATGTGCAGTTGAAACTGTGCCTTCATAAAGAAGGAGCACAACCTGGTAAGATGTGAAGGAGAAGCCAGGAGAGAAAGAAAAAAAATCTGATCTCAGGAAAACAGGTTTGCTGGATAAAGTACAAGGGGCAAATACAGAATAAGCAGGTACAGGGTCTCTCTGGGTACTCTCATTTAATTGGAATCCTCAACTTCAGGTTCCCATTGAAGTTTTCATTTAAATCTACCATGTAGAAGAAATCACTTTATTTAGAACTGGAACTCCAATACAGTCTTACACTAACAGGCCAATTTATTAAAATGTCTTTCAAGTCAAAAAGTCAAGTCACTGTGCTCTAACACCAACGTTTTGAAATTGAAATCGTCTACAGGTCGTGATGCTCTCTCTCCATGAGCTCTGGATCTCTGCATCAGTCCCACCAAATAGACCCAGATCTGTTTGCAGCTGGAAAGGGAACATATGTGCAGAAACTGAATAAATGAACTAATTGAGAAAAGAGATACAAATAGAGCAGTAATGGCTGCCCAATCTCAACCACCTTGCCGTATATTAACTCCACTGCGTCTTTTCTCCAGCAAGCCATTTACTCTTCCCTGCAGGCTCAATTTCAGTTTAATGCAAAACCTCTTCTCCCTCTCTGGCTGTATGCACTCAACATATTTAAAGCACTATGGGTGGACTTACCAGAGGGTTGCCCGTATAAAATTGACAACCAACAGAACCAAATACTGTAAGCCAACACTCCAGGAACATGTATATTCACACAACCCGCTAAGTTTGATCTGTTTAAAATGTGGTTAAGTAGTTCAGGCTTTATGTTTGTTTTTGGTGACTTAGCCCGATGTACGATGCCAGCTCATGCTTTAACCCAGGAAATGGATCCATTTGGTAAGAAGATTGGGTGTGCTTTTTGAATGCAGCCTCTAAGCACTTAAAAAGAGAGGACCACAGTCCCTTAACCAAGCTCAGTCTGAAGCAGGGGTCTCCAACCTTGGGAACTTGAAGACTTGTGGACTTCAACTCCCAGAATTCCTCAGCCAGCAAAGCT